GTTTGACAAATCCTGGGAATACCCTCTATTCCCATCTAGATCTTACCCTAGGCAAAGACAGCACCCTTTGACACACATGACCTATGCTTGGCCACTTAAAAATCCCTCCTCAGAGCCACTGCCCCACTCTGTTTTGGGGCAGGAGGCACTGCAGAGAGGCAAAAGCATAAACTGAGGAGTGGAGAAGTGAAAGCATGTGCTGTATTCGAAATTCAGAATTACTTGCAGTGTCTGACATATAAGGGAAAGCTGGGCAGGGCGTATTGGAAAACGAGGTTGAGAAGGTTGTTAGGTTCAGATGTGCAAGACATTTTCTGCTCTGCTAAGAAGTCTGATCACCATGAAAGGGAAGCTTCCGAAAGTTCTTAAGGAACGGTGTGATCAGACATGTATCTCAGAAAGAAGGTGGGATGAGAACAGACAGGAGACAGGGCACGCAGACAGCACAGCAGCNGTTTGACAAATCCTGGGAATACCCTCTATTCCCATCTAGATCTTACCCTAGGCAAAGACAGAACCCTTTGACACACATGACCTATGCTTGGCCACCTTAAAAATCCCTCCTCAGAGCCACTGCCCCACTCTGTTTTGGGGCAGGAGGCACTGCAGAGAGGCGAAAGCATAAACTGAGGAGTGGAGAAGTGAAAGCATGTGCTGTATTCGAAATTCAGAATTACTTGCAGTGTCTGACATATAAGGGAAAGCGGGGCAGGGCGTATTGGAAAACGAGGTTGAGAAGGTTGTTAGGTTCAGATGTGCAAGACATTTTCTGCTCTAAGAAGTCTGATCACCATGAAAGGGAAGCTTCCGAAAGTTCTTAAGGAACGGTGTGATCAGACATGTGTCTCAGAAAGAAGGTGGGATGAGAACAGACAGGAGACAGGGCACGCAGACAGCACAGCAGCTGTCCCAGGCCAGCGGAGGTGAGGTGGCAGGAGGAGGGGCGCTGTGGTGGGGATACCTATGAGTGTAGTGAGGGGACTTTGTATTTGAGTGCACATCAGAAATAAGGCCTGGAATTGGGAAACTGTTTACCATTTCACATTTAGGACCTTGGGATGATGATGGTGTTGACCAAGGGGAGGGACATAGAAGGCAAAGCAGACCAGGTCATCTCAGAGTGTGTGATAGTGAAGGAAGAGGAACCTGGGAACCACAAATACTCCCTGAGACATTTTACAGAATATATTGTACGTAATTCAGAGAAGACAGGCGTGGGTCTGTGATCTGAGACTAACAGATTACAACTCAACTGGGATGCAAGGTTCTGAACAAAAGAGATTCCAGCATAATAATTTCAAATCATTCTGATAAAAACTACACGTAGGCCAGCAATCTGATTGGCTTGGGTGAGGGGAAGGGAGAGTACAAATTAAAAAACACAAAAAACAGCAAAAAAGAATACTAAATAATGACGTGATTTTGTTTTAAAAATATACATTCTACAAGTCTATTTTAGAAAGACAGTGTGATGCTGGTATGAACAGTCCATAGGATCAAAGCCTTAGGATGATAATCAATGGAGGAAAGCCTTCGACACAGTAAATTCCTATACTTGATCTTAGCCAAAAGGCCAAGAAGCGATTTACAGTAAATTCCTAAATGCACTTCAGGTAAAGCACTTTGGAGAGAAAAGCTTGGAACAAGGCGACATTTTAAAATAGCACCCAGTCCTTTTGGAGATGGGGTTGATTAAACGTGGGCCTTCAAAGCAGTAGCTCAGCCTTACTCTAAATGAGGGAAATGCCACAAGTTCTTTGTAGTGTAGAAAGGAATTAAACAGGCACAATTAGTTCTTAGGTTAGTAATAGACCAAATCCTCAGAAAGGTGCTATAATGAAATGCTGGCTCTATTTTCCCAGGTACGTGTCATTGTAATGACATATTTTCTTTCCCAAAGTGACAATAAACACCAGATAATGTCTTTGTATCCTCATATAATAGGGCTCTCATGACCCCACCTTCCCTGAATTCCCCAGGCCAGCTGCCCACTCAGCAGTATCTGGCAGGAGAGCTGTCACCTCCACTGCATGGTCAGCTGGTGGCGACAAGTACCTGGAGGTTTCACTCTATGGCCAGATTCAGCAGTCCAGGGCTGGAAAGAAATACAATGCAGGAAATATTCCCAGGATGAGTGAATGATGCTCTCCAATGCAACGAGAGCTAAATTCAGAACATGCTGAGACTTAACCACAATCCTTAGAGGTACCATCAGGGCTTATTAATATTAGAGGCAGGGCTGGCTGGTTAGCTCACTTGGGTAGAGTGCGGTGCTGATAACACAGAAGTAAGGGGGTTTGGATCCCTGTATTGGTCAGCCGTCAATAAAATAAAATAAATAGAAAGATATACAAATAAATAAAATTAGGGGCAAGAAGAACACATTCCCAGCTCGGGGAAGACAGTAGAGACTGAAGAGTGTCAGGGAGGCAAGAGCCACCTGGCTGCCGTCCCTGCTGCCCACTGTGTGCCAGGGCTGTGTCCACGGATGGGACTGGCCTTGCAGGTGTCTCCTGCCTCCCTAATGGCCTCACTACATGCATCTTCAAAGCTGGACCTGAGCTTTGAGTGCTCCTTCAAACANTAGCTCACTTGGGTAGAGTGCGGTGCTGATAACACAGAAGTAAGGGGGTTTGGATCCCTGTATTGGTCAGCCGTGAATAAAATAAAATAAATAGAAAGATATACAAATAAATAAAATTAGGGGCAAGAAGAACACATTCCCAGCTTGGGGAAGACAGTAGAGACTGAAGAGTGTCAGGGAGGCAGGAGCAACCTGGCTGCCGTCCGTGCTGCCCACTGTGTGCCAGGGCTGTGTCCACGGATGGGACTGGCCTTGCAGGTGTCTCCTGCCTCCTTAATGGCCTCACTACATGCATCTTCAAAGCTGGACCTGAGCTTTGAGTGCTCCTTCAAACAATGAGCCTTCAAGCAGTCGACAGCATGGGAGGAGGTAATGACACCCTACTCATATTCTGTTTCCAGATTCTTCAGGAATGAGAACAATGCTTGGCTTTGAAAAGCAAGACAAAGTAAATGCTGAACAAAAGCTCCTGTTAGGAGAGTTGATAGAAAGAGCATATCAAGCCACTTCAAATAAGTTTAAATGTCCAGTTGCAAGCTAATTACATTCTGAAA